CTTGTTTTTTAGACCATTACTTAGAAACAACTCTCTGCTTTTGTTCTGGTCCAATAGAAGAAATTTCTGGGGAGTGATCCTTAAAATGTTCTTTAAAAAAATCTAGGAAGCATGTGTCCTACTAAAAGAGGCAAGGCGATATCTTTCCCTTGGCAATTGTAATCATCTAACTTTTAAGTGCAAGACTGACTATAGTCAGTGACCTCCACCTTTTCAACACTTCCCTGAGTCTTAGCTCCTCCCAAAATTACAGTTATTAATGCTTCCACTTTTGTAGCTCCTTTTCAGAGCAGTTACTGCTGTGGTTACTGCTCTTCCAGGGATGTGCCCAGATCTTACTGACAACTGACAGAGTTTCTTTAAAGCCTTGGAAGGCAGCTGAATGGAGGGAGGAATATAAGTGCTTGTGGTACAGGTGACCTTTTTGCTATGACCTGTTCAGTCACCCTAAACTGTTGGGAAAGTGCCTGAAGAGGGCAATATGCCGTCTGCTAAATGTTAGACATGTTATAAATGTATAACATGATGAGGTTGAATTTGGGCACATACTTGCTGGGCAAGAAGTGTGCATGTGTGTGTGTTTGTGTTCCTTCTTTTTACTCCAAAGCAAAGTATGTCTGAAAAGCACTCATGACCTCTACCCAAATGTAGTGTGAAAAGTTCTGGAGAGGCCTTGTTCTGAGTCATGCCTACTTGCCAATTTAGACAGAATGAGACATGGAGTAGGACCTTCACTGAGATGAAAATCAAGGCACAGATCAAAGGCCAAGGATGTGCATCCCAGCAAGGCCCCACCGACAAGAGCCTTCTGGAGTTGCTGCTTTTAAAGGACGTGTGCCCTGCTTGTTTGGCTACTTCTCATTAGCAGCTAGAGAGAATGGTGGGGAGAAGGTTGAGGGAAGGAGCGAAAGGCTCGTTTTGAAGGGCCTTCAAAGAGCTGAAGATGCCACTGGTGGAAATCTTGTCCCAAAGTGGCCTCTGTTGAATATCTCTGTCTAATCTTTTAAGCTTTAGGTAAGGGTTATCCTGTTGAGACTGGCATATGGCATGTGAACCTTTATGGCAGCTCTGTTTATTTTCACTAACTTTGCTAAATAATTTTACTAAGCTTTAATTGTGGAATGTACATTCTAGAGAAACCTGCCATCGAATGTCTTTTGTGGTTTGATTTTTTTCAATGTCTAATAAACATGGAATTCTTCCACTGGGCTGACTATTAACACTGTGTCATTTATTAGTTGTATATTTTGTAATGACCTCCCAGAGCAATCAACAGTAACTTTTATCTGTAACAAAGGTCCAATTATTCTACTATCAAAATTATTAGAGATAAATAAATTTTATAGATGGTTTTTTCCTACTGGTTCACCAGCTTCAGGGAGGTCCCTTCTAGGATCATATGGTAAGAGTCAAAACAATAACCATCTTTGTGATACGTTAAAGACAAATATATTGTTGTGACCTAAGCCTCTGGGGACTGTATCCTGCTTCATCACAGTAGTAAACCCACAGGAGATAAAGGCAACTCTCTTGATAACTTACAGGTCACCAGTTTCTGTTGAAATTTGCCTTTGACATTCTTTTGTTCCAAAATGGCTACTTTGAGTAACAATGACTAGGTTCTGACAAAGTTATGACCCACAGTTGTCATGGAACCGTCGATTGTTGTTGAAATGTGTGTTAACATGATTTCTGAAACTAGCTATGGTAGCAAGCTATGTGCTAACCATGATCAACCCATGAAAGGGACCTATGGGTTGTTGTTAGGTTGTGAAATGTGGTTCAGTATGATAACTAATCACCAACAAAACTCACATTATCATGTTGTGTGAACCCAGCCATGATAACAACCCATGGTGAACAACCCATGGTTCAATAAGTAGCCAACTGCAACATTTACTCAACCCTTGAGTATGGGTTGTTGCATTTTCTGAACCCACTCAAAGAGTCCAGGGTAGTGGAAATGACTGAATTTTCAATTTGGGTGGCAGTTGATAATTTTCTTGAAGTTTGGCTTAATGTTTGCATGAGTTGAGTTTTTCCTGAGTATCTTTGAAGGAAGGTTTTAGCTGCTTGAATGTCTCAGTGACAGTTGCCTGTAAATATAATTGTCAACCCAGACTAGTATTTGGAGTTGAAAATATATTGCATCTCTTTTGTAATAATTTGCTCAAGCTTCCACAGCCTATTCTTTGGGTACCTTGCTTGTCTTCACTTTTGTTCTTTGTTTCTAAAGACACAAGAGTGCTCACCCATATTATTAAGATTTGAATTAATAGTGAGAAAATTGCTTATTTACTTTGTTATATCAACTGTGTTAATTAAGATTGTTCCAGTGTGAATGTTAGTCCCTCTCCTTTTTATATGAAGGTATCTGTCTGTCTGCCTGTCTGTCTGTCTATCCCATTCTTCTTCCAAGGAATTCAGGATGGCGTATATATTTCCTCCATTACTTTATCTTTCACTGCTTATTCACACACACACACACAAACTTATATGCATACAGATATAGCAACAGACCAGGAATTAAGGGACCTTTACCAGTTGTGTGGTGTGCACACTGCAGTTTTATGTACTGATTTCCAACAAAATGGGGGGCAACTATTTCTGTAACAGGAAAACTAATTCAAATATTTATTTAAATTCAGAAGCACAGACTTTAGTTTTACAGATTTTGTTATATAGAAAGACATACACTTCAAAGGAGAAAAATGACTAGCTTAGTGGATGCATTTCCTAGAACAGAACTGGGCAATTTTTGGCTATTCAGATGTTTTTGTTTACAACTCCCATCTATTCTTGCTGGCATAGGCAGTAGTGGTTATAGGCCCTTTAGATGAAGGGTCTCAGATTCTCCAGTCCTGTCTGAGCTCATGGTCCAGAATGCCAGTTCCTGTGGAACTAATGTAAGCATAAAGAGTGGGGGAAATGAACCCTTGCCAAAAGAGGATGAAGAGGTGGTACAATGGAAGTGGTAAGGCAGGAGATTGGAAGACTGTGCACCCAGGAAAGATTGGGTGTTTGGTGGGGCCTGGGAACTGAGAAAAATGGATAAAACTATGCTCCTGCATGATTGAGAATTGATCCTGGCTCTCTCATGTATGATAACCTTTCATGTATTTGAAAAATGCTATTGACCCTGTCATATCTTTTCCAGGCTAAACATGGCCATTTTTTCAGTCTCTCCTCACATAATGTTTTTTCAGTCCCCAATCATCTTGGTTGCTCTCCTCTGAACCTTTTCCAGGTTGTCTGCATTTTCTTAAACTGTGGACCCAGAACTGGACACAGTACTTGAGATGGGTGCTGAGTGGAGAATAGCCAGCACCAATATAAATATATATATTTATTATACACACACACACACACACACACATATATATATATATAAATAATCTTTTTGAAATGCCATCACATTGCTGGTTCATATTCAGCTTGTGATATACAACACTTCCAAGATCATTCTCACTTATATTCAGACAGGTATTCCCACATCTTGTAACTGCATTTGGTTCCCTCTTCCTACATGTAGAATTTGGCATTTGTCCCCATTATTTACATACTGTTGTTTTCAACCCAGCTCTGCAGCCTATCACTTGGAATTTTGTTTCTGCCTTCCAAGGTATTAGCAATCCCATCCAATTTTCTATCATCTGCACATATGATCAGCATTCTCTGTGCCTCTTCATCCAAGTCATTAATACAAATGTTGAAGAATACTGGGTCCAAGACAAAACCCTGTGGTACCCCAATCATTCTCTTTTTTCAGTCTGAGAAGCTACCATTGAGCCTCCAATTCTCTAGCCATTTGAGGCTATTTGGTTTGCTGAGCAAATAAAACTTCATTTCATTTTGAACTTTTGTTTGGCTGTTATTCCTTTGAGCTGGGCAAATAGCAGCAAGCAGCAGTTTAGATTGGAGCAAACTGTACAAAAGATGGAAAGCCACCAAATGATTGGTGGTTGGTTGTTGGTGTAAAGGGCAAGGCCAGGGGAAGAGTGCAGGTCCATGTAGGGGACCTCAGAGGGTTGAATTTGGCCTTCATTCCTGAGGTTTCCCATCCCTGATCTGCATCCTGTAACTCCATCCATCCATCTCTTCAATTCTGTTTTTGGAATCAGTTGAATATTTTGCCTGTTGCATCTAATGTTCATCCTTCATCAGTCTTCTCAATGTGACTGAAGATCCAGTTAATGAACAACTTAACTCTTTGATGCTCACATCCTGTTCCTTCATATATATATGGTGATCTGTGTATATGGTGTTTCATGTTGCATGAATTCCCATCATAACATATTTTCTTTCTGGCTGTTCCTTTTTATTTTCTCCACCTATGTAGCAAGGTTTTTCTGTTTCAGGTACCAAAAAGATCCAGGGCTCAGACCCACAGGACAAAAAGAAAGTGAATAGGCTGATTTGCTTACACCCTATGTTCTCTTTGTTTATATGTCTTTAAAGGACCTGTCTCCCAAGGATACTCCTATTTGTAAAGGGGGTGTATGGACAGAAGGAGGAAATTTGATTTCAGAAAAACAAAAACCCTCAGGTAGAAAGTTTCAGGAAGTGGGGTGGGCAGCAGGATGTTGAAGGATGAGCAAAAAGCCAGCTGCCCAGAGCTCAGCAGGGCTCCTGTGCCTTTATTTCAACAAGTGCTTATTATTTTCAGTCTAAGGACTGGATAGAATCAGTGTGCCTATAAATTCATACATGTTTGAGTGCTTGTTCTTTTTTTTTCCTCTCTTTTTTTTTAAGGTGCCAGAGAGAGCCCCTTTGCACATGTGACCTGTATAAGTATAGGCTCATTCACATGTTCAGATGAATTCATGGAGATTGGCAGTGAGGAACAGATGCCTCTCACCCTTGGACAACTTGTTTCTTAGAAAGGGTTCATAAATTGATATCTGAATAATTTGTGTTCAGTGATCAAGATTCAGCTATGATAATGCTCTAAATGTGCTTGCCGTGATCTTAATTCCTCCCTTCCTTTCTCTCTCTTGCAGACTTGTGGATGACAGGTGTGTTGTACAGCCAGAAACAGGTGATCTTAACAACCCTCCTAAAAAGTTCAGAGGTGAGACACTTCCTTATTCATCAACTTACACATTCAGGCAATGCTCCATTCTGCTCAGATCAAGCTTGTACAAGATAAGAGCTGCACATAAACCTGAGAGTACACAGTGAGGTTATCTTGTGACTGTTAGGAAGTTTGTATAGTTTTACTTCTTTTCATTCGGGTGTATGGAATTGAATTCTCGTTCAACTGGTATTCTGGTATTAGATGAATAAAAGCAGAAAAGATGGTGGGAAGACCAATGACAGACCCTGGTTTGCACTCAACCGCTTTTTGAGAATTTAAAGTCCACCTCCTTTAGGACATTTCAGTTGCAAATGCCTGACTTGATCACTGGAGCTGTTTGTTCTTTCATATTGTTAAGCAACTTTTTATTCAGCAACTTTTCTTTGGACTAGAAAGAATAACAACATGATCTTCTCTTTTGAGGCAAATTCTGTTTTAATACAGTGATGCTTCATACTTAATTCATTTGAATTGTTCAATGTCTGAAGCAGTGTTCCCCATTGGAGATAATGGAAAGTGAATTAACCCATTCCCAGATTCTAAACAATACCTATTTTGGCTCTGAGAAAGTTCGAACAGGCTCTGAGAACAGATCAAAAAGGCACTGAAGATGATCAAAAAGGCATTGAAAATGATTCAAAAAAGCATTGAAACTTTTTTCACTGCGGCTGCAGTTCGAACTTAGAAGCACTGTTTAACCTTTGGAACAATCTTACCTAGATTTTAGTGTTCAAACTGTGGAAAGTTCGAACTTGGGGAAGTTCAAAGTTCGAGGCTCCACTGTAATAATAAAAACATTAATTTGCTCATTGTTTCTAGCATTTTTAAAAGCATGAAATCAGTGGTGATGTAAGGGGATGTAATTGAATTAGTAGTGCAGCTGTATAGTCTCACTAGAACTTGTTCACTGACACATCACTTGGTTTTGGTTTATAAAGGATGACTCCTGCTTAGAAGGGACTGTAACAGTATTATAGGCTGGCCCAAGCATATCCCACAGATGCAATTTCTCTTATACTAGGAGCAGGCAACTTCTAGATGTTGTTATTTCTAGCTTCTATTGGGACTAGTTAGTATGGCCAACAAGTAGGAATGAAGTGAGTTGAAATTCAGCAACATCTGGAAGGTCTTAGGTAGCCACCCATGTTCTATGCCTCATTAGTGTTTTCAGAAGCTCCATTCCTGAAACAAAATGGTGGAGTAGTTGGACCTCTTGTCTTGGTCCTATAGCAATGATCTTGCCATAAGATTCTTATGTAATGGCTCATTATATTCAGAACTGGTATGAAGGATCTTTCACTTTCCATAAGCTGCTCTGCTTTAGTGGTGAGAAAGCATGCATATAGCAGCAAAACATAATATATAGTCTACCTTAAATTCAAGGCAGCAGTGCAGCGTTACTTTGTTCCTAAAAAAAAGCACAGATGATTTAGAAATGCCCGTGTTTGAAACACCTGTATCATATATTTTTTTAAAATCAGCCATCTTTGTACGAAACAATAAATGTGTGTAGTGAGTTGGGTGAGAGGTGGAATAATGTGTTCAAACACAAAATTAGACCAATGCTATGTTGATGGAATGTGAATATTTTAAGGGAGGAGTGGGTGGATAGATGCTAGTTAAGTTTAATTAGAATGTTTTAGACTAATTTGGAATGAAAAGAGTAGTATCAAATAAAGTAATGCACTATCAGGTGTAATGGCAGTTTCATGTGTGATGCAGAAGTTTTAGACGGTTTATTCAAGGAATTTATACATGGGTTGTTTATCTGAAATGAGGGTATACTTTCAATCTTTTAAATCCAGAAATTGCCTCTGTGAGGGAAGAGCACTACATGAAGCAACATGTATATTTTTAACTACTAGGTTGGACTTGCATCCAGTAATGAGGAAATGGAAATCCTATTTGATAGTGCAGCTGCACAGTGACTTGGTTCAGATGTAACTAGAAATCATGGTTTTCTTCTATGCAAACAGACCTCTTTCTTTCTTCTCTGTCATGCAAGAGAGGACAAGATGAAGGTTTGCTTTTTATTTTAGACTAACAACAGTTTTCCATTGTTTCCAAATACATGGAACTGTTTGTTTACATTCTACTTAATGTGAACAAACTGGATTCCAGTTGTGTCCTTTAATTTTGGGTTTTTTATCAGCTAGAATTTAAACAAACCACAGTTGAATGAATATGGAAATCATGGGAAACTGTGGTTTGAGATTCCAAAATTCTCTTTGCAGCTAGGAGAGAAGTAAATTGAAAGAAGTCCCATACAAGTAAAAGACTTGGTTTAGATGAATAGAGACATTTATTCCTTTTTAATGCCATCCTATCCGTCAGGAAGTGGAATTTGGGGGAAAATAGGTATGACTTAAGCTTTCTTTCTGGAAGTACCATTGTTGTTGTTAGTCACGAAGTTGTGTCCGACCCATCGCGACCCAATGGACAACATTCCTCCAGGCCTTCCTGTCCTCCACCATCCCCCGGAGTCACTTAAGCTCATGCCGACTGCTTCAGTGACTCCATCTAGCCACCTCATCCTCTGCCATTCCCTTCTTCTTTTGCCATTAGGCTTTTCTCCAGTGAGTCCTTCCTTCTCATTAGGTGGCTAAAGAATTTGAGTTTCATCTTCAGTATCTGGCCTTCTAAAGAGCAGTCAGGGTTGATCTCCTTTAAGATTGACTGGTTTGATTGCCTTGCAGTCCAAGGGACTCACAGGAGTCTCCTCCAGCACCACAACTCAAAGGCCTCAATCCTTCGGCGCTCAGCCTTCCTTATGGTCCAGCTTTCACAGCCATACATTGCAACTGGGAAAACCGTAGCCTTGACTATATGCACTTTTGTTGACAGGGTGATGTCTCTGCTTTTTAGTATGCTGTTTAGATTTGCAATAGCTTTCCTCCCAGGAGCAAGCATCTTTTAATTTCTTGGCTGCAGTCCCCGTCTATGGTGATCTTGGAGCCCAGGAAAATAAAATCTGTCACTACCTCCATTTCTTCCCCATCTATTTGCCAGGA